AGTGAATAACCTCAACAAAGTGAGATTACTACTCTTCTCAAGATCAAAACAAGGTCTGATCTCAAGAGAAGGGTGAAAAAGCTGTAGATCTCTCGAAATCCTCTCTTTATGCGCATGAATTCGCCAAGATCTCACCTCTATTTCTCTAAAATTTGTGGGTTCTGCTCTCAAAACATCAACAACTCGCCTCAAAGTCCGAAATTCCAAATTACCCATCACAAACGCACGAAATGGGGTATTTATAGGCTTCGAACGCCACGTTTGTGGATATGATCTCGTGATTTGATCATATCTTCAGTTAATAACGACTTGACCACATTTACAGATAACCCCAAGGCAGTTAGGAAGTCACTAAAACACATGAATCACAGAATCTTATCAAAATACGCGTCACAGGAGGCTGATCGGGGCGAGACACATTGTGTGTGAGACACATTGAAGTGTCTTGCAGGTGAGACACATTGGCACATGTTTTGTTCTATTGTTTCGTCGCTTTTTGTGCTTCTTTGTTCTACTGATTTGGGCATTCTTTCAATGTTCCTTTACTTTCTTTTGGTATCGGATGAACTTCTTTAACTCGGACATTGATGTTCATCATCTTCTCTTGGGGTGTGCATCAAATTGACACAGCGCGGAAGTGATAACCTCAGAATCCACCAAGGGTGTTCTCTGAATCCACAAAGAACGATCTTCGAATCCACAAAAAACTTCGAATCCACGAAGAAAATATTGAAAAGAGAAATTTTATTGATGAAAAGTTATTTTCCTTTGGGTTTATATGACTCTTCTTAAATAGAAAAACAAATAAGACTCCTAGTAAGACTAGAATTATAAAAATAAAAACTATCAAATAAGACTCCTAGTAAGACTAGAATTACAAAAAAAATATCAAATTCTATCCTAAAAAGACTCCTTATAATAGAGGAAACTAATCATGAATCAAAATTAATTTTGTTTCCTAATCTAATTTGACTCTAAAATTAAATTTATTTTCTAATCTATATTTCCTAATGTAAATAGACTCCAACTCATATTAAACGTCCTACATCAGTCTCCCATTGTTGAAAGAAGCTCGACCCCGAGCTTATATTTATTAGAATAGTAGATTCATTGATAAATAATTTTCTTCTCTTGCAATGATCAGCGTCTGTCTTATACTTAGCATTGATTTTCTCTATCTGTTGTTTTACGTTCTCGGCTAGGACTTCTTCTGAATCAAATTCATATATTATTCTTTCCAACATAATGTGTATTTTATTGGCGGCATGTGGATGTGCAATTGACTTCAAAAACTCCTCAAAATATGTTCCATGTTGCTTCTCGTATTCTAGTGCTTGAAGTATCATTAAATTCTTTTTAAAATTATTCACCAACTTTGCTTCTAGGGAAGAAAATCTCGCGTCATACTTCATATACAATTCTTTCATCTCCTTTGTCTCTAGCCCTACACCAAGCAATTCACACATATCATCAATTGTCTCACTCTCTAATTTATCCTTCTCCTCCATCGGGACAACATCAATATGTGTAATATCGCTCTCAACCCCTTTGAGAATATCATGCATATCATCCATTTTCACTATCATATCACCATAATGAATCTCATGCATAACAATTGTTTGCACCTTAGGAGGAATTTCGGTAGGGGGCAGGTTCTTCTTTTTCAGTTACAACCAAGTCATAGACCTCTTCAGATTGCTTTAAGTTTTCTGCTAAAGCCTCGTTGTTTGCCACCAAAGGTTTCTTCTTCTCAGTAGCTTTTATCTTAGATGGCTCCTTTTCTGTAAGAGGCAGAAGTACAATTCGGTGTCCATCTTTCTTGAAGATATAAACATTGTCTCTATTTCTGTGGGTAGCTCCAACATCGAATTTTCATGACCTACCTAAAAGCATATGGCAAGTATCTATCTCGACCACATCACACAACACATCATCAAAATACCTGTGACCGATAGAAAAAGGTACATGGCACATCTCATCGTTCTGCATATCATTGCCCTTGTGAATCCAATCGATCTTGTAGAGAGGTGGGTGTTTCTCTATCTTCAAACCTAACTTATTCACCATACGTCGAGAGACAAGATTCTTTCTACTGTGATTATCAATAATAACATCACAAATCTTCTGCATCACAGTGCACCTCGTGTGGAAGATATTCTGCTCTGGAGATGATTCTTCTTTCTTTATTGCTTCTTTAGTGCTCTTCCCAACTCCAATGTCTTGCTTAGGGTCATTGTCGCTGTTGAATTCATCATGTGGAGTCGAATCACGTCGCTGGCGACGATCAACGTAATTTCAAACTCTTCTTGGAGGCATTTTTTCTGGTGTGATTCTTGATTGGCTTTGGCTCATAGGCAAAGGCCGGTGATGCTGGGGCAATTTAAACATCTAGTATACAGGGAAATAGCTTCTTGTTGTGCAAGGAATTAGTATTTAGTGTTACGTATGTGTTTCCTTGTGCGGACGGATCATTCAAAATGTAATTAAAGGTTAAATCCAGTATACAGCATGAGTGAAAAACTTGTGCTTCAGGTCTCAAAATTATGCAGCAGGAGCAGGATATTAATAAGACCCTCATGAAATTTACAGGGCTTATGACCTAGGTAATTGGTTGATTTGTTGCTTATTTTTGTTGAGTGCGATGAAGAGTTGTCTTGGATATGACATCTTATGTGCTTCCTTCTTGGAAGTATTTTTCTCTTAGATATCGCCAACGTAAGTAAGTGTCTCCTTCTTGATAGTATTTCTCATTTTATTCTCTCTTCTTATGTCACCGAAAAAGATGTTTGTGAGCTAGTTTTCCTTGCAACTGATGTTCTGGTGCCGAGATAATAAGGGGAAACGCTTCCAGAAAGAAGTCGAGGGCGAAAAACTCCCTTAACTCGACGTTTATTGCATTTTCTATACCGTATTTAACACAATTTTTCAAAACCGTCCTATTTGGATATTTATTCTCAAAAAAAGACCTATTTCAGTTTTATTTGTAAAAACCGACCTGGTTTCAGCCTCAGCGCTGAAACCAGGTCGGTTTTTATAAAAAAAACTGCCGAAACTTCACGGGAGTTCAACTTCCGTGAAGTTTAGCAGACTATTTAAAAAATCTGTTAAACTTCACGGGATTTGAACTCCTGTGAAATTTTGTAGGTGAACAAACTTCACGGGAGTTCAACTCCCGTGAAATTTGTTACAATACAAAATAACTCCCGCTCCCGTGAATGGAGATATTAACACACTTGCCCATCACACCGTTCTTCTCCATTCTCTCTCTCCATTGTTGAGCTCCTAGTTACTGACAGTATGACTCCTCCTTATTCCCCCTAACTTCATCTCCGACCCATTCTACATCCGAATCCTCGACACCACTCTCCGCGACGGCAAGCAAGCCCCTGGCGCCGCCATGACCGCCGACCAAAAGCTCTCCATCGCCCGCCCCTTCTTCGACCTCAGCGTCAACATCATCGCCGACGGTGTCGGCACCTCATGCAAGCCGACGGGCGCGCGCTTATCATCGGGGCGGTGGTGAGGAGAAACAAGAGGGACATCGACGCGGCGTGGGAGACGGTCAATGGGGCGCTGAGGCCGAGGTTATCGACGTTCAAAGAGGCAAAACCCCCAATAAATTGCCCAAATCAACGACACTAAGAAGTTGCGGCATCGTTCGTGATTCCTCCTCTATGGTCTGCTCCAGCTCTCTTGGCATCGCAGGTGAAGAAGGAACAAGACAGATTCAAGAGAAGGAGGAGTTGTAGAAGCAGTAGAGGAGGAGGTGGAGGAGCTCTTGTCATCTCTTGGCTCTTGGCTGCAGCTGCTGCTGGCTATGCTGTTATATCTATGCTTTTCGTTGAAATGGGGAAATGAAAAGAAAATCTGATGAATGGAATTGGGAACGGGAGTTTTTTGCACTGTAACAAATTTCACGGGAGTCCCGTGAACTCCCGTGAAATTTGTTCACCTATAAAATTTCACGGGAGTTCAACTCCCGTGAAATTTGACAGATTTTTTAAGTAGTCTGCTAAACTTCACGGGAGTTGAACTCCCGTGAAGTTTTGGCGGTTTTTTTATAAAAACCGACCTGGTTTCAGCGCTGAGGCTGAAACCAGGTCGGTTTTTACAAATAAAACTGAAATAGGTCTTTTTTTGAGAATAAATGTCCAAATAGGACGGTTTTGAAAAATTGTCCTAACAAATTATGTGTCTATATCTTCCCATTTTATCTCTCAATTATTCTCTGTCACACGTTAACGCTCAAAAGAAACTACCGTAACCAGCTTAATTTCGGAAAAATCACTTTTTTCCTTCCAAACACGAAACATTTCCTCTTCCATTTCTCACATGCTTTTTCAGTATCTCTTCGCGAACAAGATCTTGCTCTAGTAGCGACAAACGAAGGGAGTTCGACTGCAGATGCAATTGTAAAACGACAGTCCTAGGCGACTTAAAAAAGAGGTCATCACACCCATAATCATCGATGCAGACGAACAATCGACACCGAAAAAGACCCCCTCATCGAAGAACACAGATATCGATATCGTCTTGCCTTCTCGGCTTTAGTTGACATGCAAAATTCAGAATCCAAACTGACCTTTTTCCCAGCTTCTGACATCGGTTTGATCCATCTTTGACCGCACCCACGGCGACGGTGAACAATACACCGTAACCTTATTAAGTAATAATTTTGAGGGTACGAACCTGATTATACTCCAGATCCGACCCGAAACAAGCAGCTCTTCTGTCACCAGAGCAACTCTCTATAACTTGAAGTGGGCCCCGCGAGGGTCACCCCTGCAAAATCTCCGTTGCCCCTCCAGAAACTCGAGCTCGTCTCTCTCATTTGGTTCGTACGGAGCTCTGAAACCGCCCTTTCCTCTTTAGCCCCTCTCTTTCTCTCGTCAAAACCGCCCCTGGATTCTGGGAGCGGTTTTGTAATGGGGAGAAGGCGGTTTTCCGTCGAAGATAACGGCGCCGTGACGGACGACGGAC